ACTGTATATAAAATGCGGGCATCAGGGAGCCGCTATTAATATGCGGGGATATGCGAATGCATGATCCCTTTTTACTTTAACTTTTGAGATTTGCGATCGCACGTGCTCTGTGGAAACTACAGCGGCAGTACTTACCGCACATTTTACAAGATCAGATGCTTGTCAGTGGTGCTCAGGATCTGTAAATCATTCGCCATCATCCTTGGTCATCTCTCCTTACTCTTCTCTTGTTTATGTGGTAAGTGACATCTTATGTACTGTAATGTAACAGGCTACCGCTAGCAAGCAGCTAACCATGTCCCTTTAGTGGCTCGTGTTATTTTATTAGAACGTGTGTTATTTGTTTTCCGTGCCTTTCTGAATACAGACACCAACCCATCCCTCCACTTCACATCCCCTGCACAGGAACATAACATTTATTTCCATGATCTGCCATTTTCGCTATTATCCTCGCTTGTTTCTTCACAATACCTGCAGAACTTCTGATGGTTCGGCTGGCAGCTGGCATAGAACATGGGCAGGTTTATGCAAATGTTGGGGGCATAACTATTAGTGATCCTGACTGTAACGTCACAGTCGGTGTTATGTTCTGATTCGCCTATTTTTCAGTGGTCTTTTGCATGCATGAGATTTATATAAAAAGGAGGAAACAATGATGTTTGAGGCTCACGGTATGTCATTTCCATGTACAGAACTTTTATTATTCAACTATGCCAAGGTCAATACAGTTTTCCATTCTATGGCACCTTTAAATGTGTCAGGATGCAATTCATAATGCAATGCGAGTGCACAGTTTAGTTTAGGTTATGGGTTAATAATAAAACGTGATTTAATGACACAGACATGTGAAGGAAACACATTTGTGTCTGCGATTGCACACATACCGTACAGTATGTTTGTGGCCAACGGCTGTCAATGTCTGTGTTTCTAAGCATGGACGTCTGTGCAAATGAACTTTAATAGCCTGGGAGGAGAAATTGAGAAAAATCAATCCCTGTCTATTCTCTGTAGTGGATATAAAGGCTTTTAACAACTCATATTGACCTGCGATTACAATAGTCGGTCATATATTAAAAGCAAGCTCAGTGAACAAACAGCAGAGGCCAGTGGCAGTGGCTCATCTAGAGGACGTCTACGAAGACAAAACGCCTGGAATATTGCTGTAATATATATAAATGCTGCACCCTACAGTTGTGAGTAGTGTGGTTTTACAGGCACATTGGCTCTGAATATATTTCCCGGCTCCCCAACAGTGAGAAATCAGCATATTCTTTATGACTTCTCAGAAAAGGCCGTATTCTCTCACACAGAGCTGAGCTATATGTCAAAGCCAGTTTTATTGCCAGGAGACCCCCAGAACAAGCGGCTCTTGTTATTGTGCTCAAATAAATTTGACTCAAGTGCATATTTCAAGAGCCAAAAGATTTTTTTATTTCATGCAAACAAATGAGAAATCATTGAAACCCTGCAGCGCCGGTGAAAAATGTTTCATTACTGACTGTAAAGCAGCGCAGCTTTATATTCACGGCTGATGAAGCGGAACATGAAAACAATCAGAGAATATATATTCGCTTTATCTGTGCTCGCTGAACTGAAACACATCTGAGGTCTCTCAATGCAGGACTGTTATCAGGAAAGCTGTGATTAGCAGCTCATTAACACACGAGACAGATCTCTATCAGAATATAGCAGAATTTCACCGTCAGGCTGAATTACACAAAACTAGTCAAGAACTCGCCAGGGTTGTATTTCACTTCACATTATATAAGCATAAAGCAAATCAAGCAGAGTTTTATGGCTCTTGCGATGTATTTTTTCACTGTGACATTATTTTCATGACAATTAGGCACATTAGTTTTTACTGCAAAACTGTAAAAATGTAATTTCTGCAATTTAGAAATAATATTGATACATTAATTGCAAAACATTTATACATCTTGATGTTTCTATTGAATTTATACAGAAAAAAAACTGACACTGATGATTTCCATGACTATATTATAGTGAGAATGAGAATGTGAAAAGAGGAACGACATGTAAAAAAAAAAAGTGCTTAATTGTCATGACAATAATAAGAAATCATTTGAAATTAAATTATATGAAAATGTAAAAATAATTAATTTAAGAGATAGATCAATTAATTCAATAAATGAAAATAGTTAAATAATAATAAATAAATAAACAAATAAAATTAAATACAATTAAATTAAAGTCAATTAAAGTAAATTTTCTTTGTGCATAGAGGAATATTTGTTTCAAAAGAGTTTTATATTAGGAGCTTTTTTATTTTTTTATTCTTGTTTAATATATTTGACTGATTAATGCAGGAAATTACTGCAGAATTGGAGAAGTCCTTCACACTGAATAACAACTACCACAATGTTTTGACTGCCCACGAAAGTCACAAAAACCCCTGATGGTTTCATTCATATTTTTATTTGAAAGAATTCTCTTTCATGAGATGTATGAGGGCTTTTTATTATGTGTGTGAGTCACAGCGCTGAGTCACACTGCTTTAATTCCAGCGTAAAAGCCTGCATAATTCTCTCTGTATGTATGTGTGTGTGTGTGTGTGTGTGTGTGTGTGTGTGTGTGTGTGTGTGTGTGTGTGTTAGAGAG